TGAGGGGATTAAAGCCACTGGTATTATGCGCCGGGGTTCACTTCTAACTAAAACATGGTGGTGGAAAATGGACATGGAAAATGTCGCAACGAGACTGGACCTTAACGTGGTGCGACGGTTCGCGTACCTCATTGACCCATTGAGCTATACTGGGTGATGCCTCCGAGCATCTTGAGAGCTACTCCTACAAGGTTGGTCCATGGTGAGAGGTCAGACAAAGTCTCCTGGTCCTCCAGGTTGGGGGTTTGAAATGGGATGGCGTCCATTTCTGTAAAACTAAATCACTGCCACTCCGCTGCCTTGCGGACAGGCTTTTGAGCCAAAGGCTTTGGATGAGGACCCTAATCGTCCTCCTGTCTAGGTCTGGGCGCCCTGGCAGTATCCCAGCCCACATACAACCATGACATCTTCTTCAAACATAAACTTCATCCTGCATCGGCCGTCGCGCAGATTATCAAGGGTCACCTTATCTGCTGCATACAGCAGGGCAGGTAAGCGAAAACGTTACTGCTGGCGCCTCCCTTCTTTCTTTTCCACCTTTTTCTCTTATTCCCATCCCAGCCCCCATTACTAACCTTCCTTCTATAATTCCCAGCTTCATTGACAGCAACCGAAGTGCTACTGGAGTAGTACCGTCTGCAGCCACCATCCCACAGCACCTATCGGACGCCTATCGGCAAAAGTCCCTTATAAGGTCCCGTTGTCCCGTTTCCATGGCGACATTCAACGTCCGCACTCTAAGACAAACAGGTCAGCAGGCTGCACTCGCATGCACCTTGGACACACTGGGTATTGATGTGTGTTGTGTGTCCGAAACTAGGATTAATGACACTAACGGGGTTATTGAATTGACTGCACCCGGCTTATCCTCTCGTTATTGGTTGCACGCATCCGGAGACGCCGATGCGGCACTCACGGGTCAAGCTGGTGTAGGTATCATTCTCAGCTCCAAGGCTGAGTCATCGTTGGTTGATTGGATTCCGGTGAACAGCCGTTTATGTGCAGCCCGTTTGACGACATCAGCTAAGGTGAATTCACGAAGTAAAACAAAACGCTGTTTGTTTGTGATTTCTGCTTATGCTCCCACCGACTGCAGTTCTAATGCAGTCAAGAACACTTTCTATCACGAACTGAACGCGCTACTACGCAGTGCTACTAGTTCAGATATTATAGTACATGCAGGGGATATGAACGCATAAGTAGGGCGTCTGAGCTCTTCAGAAGCTCAGCTGGGTGGTAATTATGGACTTAACGCCGAACGGACTGACAACGGCGAGCGTCTGCTGCAACTGTGTGCGGAGCACCAGCTGTTTCTTACTAGCACTGCTTTTAGACACAGTGGGCGCCGAAGTGCCACTTGGCGTCCACCTGTAGCTGGCCAGCGATGGACCCAAATTGACCACATAGCCATAAGTTACAGGTGGCGCGGTTCCATTCTGGATTGCCGCTCGTACTGGACTACCTGTGTCGACTCTGATCATGCCTTGGTGCGCTGTCGTTTCTCCATGAACTTTATCGGAAGGCGCAAATGATGATGATGATGGACATGGAAAAGTGCATCTCACCACTTTCTATTGTGTGAGCAGTCTGTGGTTACCGATTCGGACGACTTCAGTGCGGTTCCAAAGCTAACGTTACCAATATTTGCAAGCACGCTGAAACAGTCGCTAAAGCCCAACAAACGCCAAATAAGGCGATCTCAAATGCTCCGGGTAAATTGGCGGGAAAACGACAGCGAATTGCAAGTGAAGTAATCTGGTACGTACTGTGGCTGAAAAATCGCAACAAACTGCTACGCATTATGAGAAGAATACGACAAAACGCACAACGCATAGGCACATGACGTTGGACACAGGTCGAAATCAAATGATGTAGTTAAAATAATATCGGAATATGCGGCCGGGTACAAAAAAGGCACACACCGGACAACCGGGTACGAACACAGCATAGGTTGCGGTTCTCCACATTTAGTATGCATCGGCAAGCAGCCTTTAGCCAAGAGCGTGGCTGTAAAGACCACATATGTAACCTGCGGTAGGAGCTAGAGCAGCACCACACGTATCGCAGGCCGACAGTACTTGTGTTCCTCGACTACAAGAGTGCATTCGTCTCAGTAGCTTCATCTATTCTTTACGAGATAACGGTGCGGAAGGGCGTTCCCATAAAAAATGTGAACTTTTACGCGCTATAGACTGCCGCACCACATGACGCAGCATGGTCTACCCAGACGCAAAAGATATCATTTCTTCAATAAGTGGTTTTCGTCAGGGTTTTACGATTTCCACACTTTTATTCAGCTTCATCGTAGACTATCTCATGAAGTGTTCCCTTGAGACCTTCACGATGCAGTAGTTGAGGTGCTGTCTGGTGAGAGGCTAGGTGACCCTGATTACGTAGACAATATTTTCTTGCTTTTAACCATATCGTGGCAATCCAATAAATCATGTGTAGCCTCTCTAGAGTACTCCAATTATTTGGCATGCACTTCGCAGCTTCAGTGAGCAGAATGTTGTTGCAGGATTATCTGCCACTTGCTGAGCCATTGCCCTTTGATAGCGAGGTACTTGAGATAGTTTATCAATTCACTTACATAAGCTGCTTCTCCAGTAAACAATGCGCGTATGGGCACTAAAAGCAGATCACGTATTGTAGAAGCCAAAACTGTACCTGAATCCGCAACATCTGCTGTGTCAAAAACGGTTTACGTCTGGCTGAAAGCCCAAGAGATCGTGACTTAACTACTTTAATCTGTGAACCTGCGACAACTTTAAGTCTTTGATTATCGTTGTATGCAAGGCACTGCTGGTGTGGGATGGCACCAGCGTGTCCGCAAATAGGATGCCCATAGGGGATTGTTACGAAGTGATAATAAAGCTAGTCCCTTATAACAATATAGCACTGAATCTGTTGCTTTGGTTTGGGTATGTACTACGTTTGCACTATCACCGTTTACCGATGGCGTGGTGTTGTTTGCCGTATGTAGGGTGGCGCAAGGCTCGTGCTGGGCAAAGATTAACTTGGCGGTGGGAAATCAAGTAACTGACGACCAAACTTGGTGCCATTGGTCCGTCTCGCCTTCTAGATAGAAGCCCACGTGACCCGTCTCGTGCTTGTCCCTTGACGCTATGGAACGTGGCTTGCACTCGTCACTAGTAGCGTGTCTTCTATCGTCTCGTAGATAGACTGCCTGTTTAAAGTGTGTTGGCTGCTAAGTTATCTACTGGTTATGGCTGATTAAAACCCAGGGCAGTGAAAGCTAGAAGGAAGCTGTCTCGCTTAAGCCGCCAGCTGTAGTTGACACGGGGTAAGCACATTTATCCTGTGGGGCATTCAGGTTTTCCGGTTAGTCCCACTTCTTTCCTTCTTATTACTCTTCATACCGTAGGTAGTTTTGGTAATATAGCAGCAAATCATCAGTTCCAAGGGCTGCTGCTGAAGATGTCTTTTGGTGGAGGCACCTCTTTGATCAACTTGTTTGATGGATCAGGTCTTCATCCATCTGGTCTATGATATAGATGAGATATTTAATGGACATGGCTCGCACTCGGCACCAGGAGCATTTCTGCTGTCCTCTTTATCTGGACAGCCTGTTTAAAGTGTGTTCGGCGCTGGTCGTGGCTGATTACAACGCGGGGCAGCGGAAGCCGCAAGGAAGTTGTCTAGTGGGTGCCGTTGTATCGTTGTATAATTGCCAGCTGTTTGTGACGGTATATGGTTAACACAAGTTGAAGACGTACTAAGACTTAAAGGTTTGCTTAGGGCGTTAAAATTTTATTCTACATCCTCCTTCTCTCTCTTATCATTCTTCGTTCCGTAGGTCCGCATAGTTTTATGCAGCATAGCATCAGTTCAAATGGCTGATTCACTGCTAATGGTGACGATGCCGTAGACTTAGAGTCCCTCACACTAGCATGCGACTGAGTTAGACACAGGAGTACCAACCCTAACTTCCAAATGGCTATGGAGGAGAAATTTATCCGTCTAGTCCAACAGTTGATCAGAAATGTCGCTGCGCTGAGATTAATAAGCACATTATGCTCGTCCAGATGGACAAATGACACCTAAAATTCCAGATAGACCTCATTAACACCGACCTAAGCTTGACAGATTCCGTTTAATACGTACGGTCTATAAACGCCTTCCTGTTGAATGACAGATTCTACGCAACACCAGAGCAAGGAGCCTAATAAACCTCAATAAACTACATGAAAATAGACCCCATAAATTCGTAAATCTCTGAAGGGCTTCTATTTAACAAACTAGCGGACATGCATAACTGCCACCTGTGTTAAAACGTGTGCCTTATCAGCTTAACTTGCGAAAGCCAACTATACCAAACGTAGGCGGATTTTGAAAACCCGGCTAGCTCTACACAAGCAAATACATCAGACGATTCAGTGCATCGCGGGCTGTAGATGATAAATGACAAAGGGTTGAAGTAATTGGAGCTGCACAAACGAACGGAACACGCCTGAATTTACCACTATGCTGTGTACAAGTGTCAGACAAACTTTGCTCCAGCCTATATGTGCTTGAACTCAACTAAAGCCTTGACCGTTAGTAGGGAATTAAGATAGTCAGTGACAGAAGGAAAAAATCAACGGCTCAATGCACTATAGATGTTAGTTAGCTTCCTATTACAGCATTAAACGGTTGGAATTTATGAGAAACATTTCACTACTAAAACGGAATTGAACTGGCCAATCCGCTACAGCGGCCTTTTTTCAACTTTATCTACTACTAGTAGACATTTACCTCAAAGCATACTTTATCTGGAGGAAACTCGTACCCTACTAATTTGGCGAATATATATCTGATTTGTAAGTAGTATGCGTGTAAATGCCATTGTTACTTATATCTAATGAGCTCGGTTTGCCGCTCGAGGACTGATTTTGATGTTTCAAAAGAGGTTACAGGCTGATACTTATAGATAGCATAAAATTAACAACTTAAAAACTACAAAGTAACCGCGTGATAAGTTTCAATGGCTATCATCTTACCCCAGTAGAATAAATCATATGGATTTTGCTGATCAATTCTGGTCGTCAGACATCTGTATTTAAACTTCAGCTGATTCGTGTCGTAAGCAATTGCGGCCCAGATGTTGTTATTTTTATCAGTCCAGCGACCATAACAGCGCCAAATATTTGCTTTCCCGAAAACGATATTCGGATCTTCTAATATTGATATATCTTGGAAATTAGGGCAATATCCGAATGTTTGTTCAAAAACGGAATTGTCTCTTAGCGGGGACCCCTGTCTTTGACAGGCTTTAATTGTGCTAAATGGACTACTGCAAAGTCCAGTGCTTCCAACGATTCGATAGTCAAAGGCAAATATTCCTTCAAGTATGCTTTTGCAGTTGAAATCGGAGTAATCTTCACGAGCTCTCACGAAACCGGTCTCAAGCTCAGCATCTTGCAGACTCTCGCAAACGGCGGTCTCACTCTCCATTGGTAACTGAGTGTTGCATTGGCCTTGATGATAGCTGGTTACCAAACATATGCAAGCATCTTACTCCTTCTGTACTGGATGACATTCGGGCTCCGCAAAATCAGTTCGTAACAAAAGAAACAGTCGTTAGTTCTAAAGGTTAGGAATCAGTAAAATATATCACAGTACGCATTCTTAAACAGTACTAGAATGTCTTCCACATTACTTTCAAGTCGACGGTTTTCTGCAACTATTAAATGGCATGTTCCTCTAAACTTTTGTACAGTTTGAATAAGCTCATTCTTGAGTATTTGCGTTGTGGTTTCTTTGCCATTTTCGAGAGCAAACAAGGTTTTAACATATGCATCTGGTATGGTGCACTGTGCATCGCACAACACGATGTTTTCAAAAACGATCACTACAAGGTAAGCAAAAAGTAGTTATTTTTGCTGGTTGCTCAACCACAGCTTATTTAATATCAATAATCAATTTTAACTCACCCAATATAAAGGCAGCAATCGACATTTGTTGCTTACAGCCCGGACTTGTTAATTTCCGCGGAGCATTTGTTTACACAAAGTAAGGCGGGAGAACTGCAGCACCAATTTGACGTAGCAGCGGAGTACAACCTCCACAGACAATTCTAATTACTTCGTTAATATACAGCCGGCGTTATTGAAAACTAGCTTTTCTGTACTTGATAGGACATAGTTCGCTGCGCGCACGATTAGGTGGGCTAATTTAGGGTCAATAAGGTTGTATTAGTAGCTTTATTAAAATATTAGTAAATCATTAAAGAGGTATTTTACAGCAAAATATTGCAAAAAATATTACTATTATTGTAAAAGTGGTTTTCTGTCTTGTTGCTGTACTGCAGAACAGGACGCAGCCCAAATTCAAACGAACCCGTAATTGTGGTATCTTAGTCCCTACTTTCCGCAACTGTTAACTGATCCTCGCGGTATTTACCGACCCACAAACTACAAACCGTGGATCATTTCAAACACACTAAAATGCTGCTAACATAATGTATGAATAAAGCACGAACATATTAATGTTTGGCCATAACGTTAAAATCTTCAACACTACAGGCCTTTTGCGTAAAGATTATGTTTCTCCTTGCTTTATTTATTAGGTTATTCATGGCCAGTTGCCCTGCGATAATCATTAAAGTTCAACTAGGACTAGTTAAACACAAGCAACCATTAGGTTCCGAGGGGCGAATACTCGAAATAAAGATGCTGTTTCAGGACTGCTAGCAAGCGCCACACCAATACTTCAGGATATTTTTATTCTGGCATATGTTTACGCCGTGTAGTGGTAAGCCGTTTTGCGTTTACTCAAGCACGCTTTGGATTGTCTCTTTGCGGTGGATAAAATGGGTATGGAACGATGCTTCCACCGGCCGTGAGGTGCAAATAAGGCAGTTTCATAAAGTAAACGTTTAACTCATTATCAGCGCGTTTAAACCGACGGAAACGGTAAAAATGAGGATTAAAAGGAAAGTACGTGCATTGGTTATTTTAATTGATCAACTTATAAGTCCGTAAATGTAGCGGAGGGCGCTATGGTACTCCGCCACTCCTGCCTTAGCTATGGACGCCCCGTACTCCACGGCCACCAGGAGGAGGGCTGCACCTATTTCGGATGCGGATCGCGGCTGCCATAGCTAAATGTCAGCAAAACGACTATTAATGGACGACGATCAGTTATTCCAGCAGCCGAGAACAAATGATACGTAACAAGTGTAGCCTTCAAAGAAAACTTTTCGGCATTTAAATGTAATCCCTGCACCTCATTATTTGAGTACAATTTGGAACCTGACGACCGATACCTCCGGGACAATGGTATCATGCTTCCGAAAGCGAATGCGTATTTCTACGCGTGGTACGTATGCACTCATGCCCACCGGAATCGCGGTGAAAGCCTCTGGTAACTGATGTCATATAGCCTGATAATCCAACGACTGAAACTGTGCCGATCATGTAATGTGTCGTTACGTCGTTTCGTATAACGGATTATGCTGTGATCCATGTTGTACATGGGAAAACCATGGTTATGCGTGTGCACTCGCAAGCTCTCACATGGGAATGAGGTGCAGGTCTTCGAGCTAATGGAGTTCTTTTATATTACGCGTAACATAAGAGACCACGCGTTTGGTAAACTCTAAGTGCGGCTGGAACGTGCGGGAGCCAGGTCTATACGATACCCGTACGCTAAAATGGACCACGGAAACGAAGCCGTTCGAGTGAGAAGGCTGCTGCATGGGAAGGGTTATGCGTTATATTAGAAAACGGAGGCAGCTTCATGTATGTATTCCTTCAAACGCGAAGCAATATACCATTGTGTAAACGCTCTGCGATGTCATTTTCGCCCAAGCTACATATCAGCACAACCAACGTGCTTAGGTCCCATGGCATGCACTGCTGGTTGAAGTACCAGATTTTCTAGGCTCTCATGCCTAACGAAAGTAAGCTGGGTTACCATGAATCGGTACAGCGGGTGTCGGAGCATTTACCAACAAGCCGTTCAATAAGGACATTAATGCTAGATCGCTGCTGAGCACAAATTTACGCGTCCAAATCATACGTCCTTAAAAGCCATGTGATGGCTTTCGCTTCCATGCACTAAGGGACATGCGATAGCGATGTGATCATTTAAACTGTAGCAGTTCTCTGCACCGGAGGAAATTTGCACAATGGATGATTAATTTGGTGTGTACACAAAGCCAAGCGCAATTCAACAAATTACTCACCGCCATCGGTGCTTGAAGCAAATAGGCGTTTAAGTAACCTAATAGCACGTGGCGTCCATACATAGAAAACTGTTCCGCATGCATCCGGAAGGGTGTAAGAAAATTAGGCAATTTCACCACGGACAGTTGGGGCAGTGGCACCCAAAACAGGGCATGTCCAGTAGGTCAAGTGTCCTGCAATTGTTTAGGCAGATGTTACGACGAAATCATGCGTCTGCCCAGGCAAGGAAAATCTTTCTATTGAAAGTTCACATGGGTATCCACAAAACCCCTTCATGTGCGCGTTGGCAAACTAATATTTTGCGCTCCTTGGGTACCTATCACCGCAGTGTTGCTGAAGCACTTACCGGTAAACAAATTAACCAACATGCTGTATGGCCAGGAATTCTGGAATGCGCACACTTCACGTGGGCCTTTCGTCCAGTGCAAGATTCGGGCCCCCAGGTTTGCAAAGGCGCGTGGAACCTTCCCTTTGATCATTCCTTAGATGTATACTGCCTATTTGCCCATCTGCAAGAAAAGCAATTCAAAGAAAGTCGGTAGCTTTCACCTGCACACGCCCCAGTAGGTTTTTCTCAGCCTTGGTACCAGAAGTCCGGGGAGGTGCATAGGTTTCCATAGTGCACGACTGCGCAGCTAGTCATTTTCTATGCATGCCAAAAATGCGTGCCTTGCTTCGTCCAGGATAAATAGCTATAATGTTATTAGCGCGTGTTAAAAAGTAAACCGTGATCTCTTTACACGCAGTTGGTAGTTCCAACTTCGTAGGCACGCGCGCTCTAAGGCATCGCGCCGAACGTTTTAATAAGGCCTGAGTTGGAGCTGATGGCTAAGGCTCCTACCACAGGAAAATGCATGCCTATTGGGGTCACAAACACTGTTTCCCGTTATAGAAAGAGGCGGCGTGTGGAAGTCCCCTATCACACAGTCTGCGGATGAAGATACTGCTGTGCATTGTGGGCCGTCAACCACACATGATGCTTATCCAGAAGCGCCGTCCCAACGAAAGCAGATTCTCGCCAGCAGGGAAGGAGATCATGAGGACATGGTAGTCGTTGGTGCTCCGTAAGATAATACGAATTTCCGACAAATGTGAACTAAGACTGCAGCTGCAAGCTGTTTGTAAAAAAGCAACCAACGTCTGTGCAGCTATCACATGAATGTAATGCATGTCGCATTTGCGGTAACTTGAAACAATCATCCTTGGATATAGGCGGAAAAGTGAAGTGAGTATAATGCTGCGGCTGCGCGCACTGGTGCAATGAAAGCTGCGCGGACGTCCAAGCACTAAATGAGTCGTACCAGTGTGTAGCTTGCCAACGAATCATATCTGGTCACCGTGCAGGCCAGAAACGGAGCAGACATCCAAATATTTTGTCAACAGATAAAAGCGAAAGGTTTTCAAAACAAGAAGAAGAAAAGGTCATGAAAACCCAAAATATTCAAAAACTTTTGTAAAAGAAAACATGTTTATTACTCTACGTATTTCTGTGTGCTAATTCTAAATATATAAATAAATAAATAAATTGTGTATTCTCGACTAAGCGAGGCACGCCTGCGCAGGCATGATCATGTTAAGAGTACAAAATGTGATCAGTTAATGTACAATGGAACAATGGGATTGTTGCATATGTTTATATATGAATGTATGTAAGTTTGCATGTAGGCGTGTTTAGCTTTGTTTATGGGATTGGTAAATGCCTCCTGTCATTTTGCTTGAATGTGTTTGAAGGTGTCGCCAGTGCTTGCTATCTGTGGACTTGAAGAGATTGTTCGGATAAGCAATGGGTGACTTTAGTTAGTGGCGAGTCACAACCGCCACGTCAGAGTGTTGTTAAACGGGCATATGTGGCTTTTTATAGGGAGAACGCTTGCCAGGCGAAAACCCACCACGTCCTGGAACACTGCCCCCGAACTATTTGCTGAAAGGGGGTAAACCCGAATCGCCCAGCTGGCACCACGTGGAGGTTGTTCGGCTAGCCAGCCTTTACAGGTAAGCGTTGCCTGTTGTTATCCATCGCGTTGCCAATAACCGACACTTCTCACTTCTTTTTCATGTTACGAAACGGCGAGGAGGCATTCTTTTGTATAAAGATGTCGTCAAATGGAGCCCGCGTGCAGTAAACATTTTCACGGTAAGGCAGGACTGGGGGTGGAACCCTTGAGGATCCGATCGCCTGGTTCTTGATCAACAGCTGCAACAGTTTCCATCATCTTGTCTCTCAGAAGGCTGGCGCCCAACGGATAGCCCTTAGTTAGGCTGAAGGTTCAAAATGTTCACTCTGCAGTGGCGACAGCTCACTGACCCGGAGACAACCCTTTAGTCTGTTGCATGTTGCAAAGACTAATCTATAACCTTATCCTACGTTGTACCTTAGGTTGGTTGGGCATTTGCTTCCTAGAATATCGCTCTTGTTTACTTGATTCCACGAAACAGTAGTCTATCCAACGCGTTGCCCGGGTATCCGCTCAGTTGCTTGCGTGGAACTACTGCTGACCCTAATAGGGCTACTAAACGGTGGCTCGGCTGAAACTGCTCAATTAAAGAAACGTTACACCAAGCTTCGTTGCTCTAGTTAGCGTCGTCCAACGATATGAATGTAGCTGCTAAGCTGTGGTTTCGTAGAGATAGACCAATCATTACTCGGTTTCAACAGGCCTTATGAATCTAGGTAGCGTCATCTACAGACAAGAACACAGCTACAAAGCTGTGGCGTGGCTAATGTAGATTGATGCTAAAACGGTTGCCTTAGGCTTCTCGAACCTAGGTACTCTCGTGCAAGAGCAGATTAGAGTTACCAAACCGCGGCTTTTTGGCATAGCGCAATTATTAAATGGTTGCACCGGTCTTTTTTATTATAGCTAGCATCGTACACAGACCTGGTTAGAGCTATAAAATGGTGGCTTGGTACAGAAAACAACTTATAAAATGGTTGCAACAGGCTTTGTGAATCCAGGTCGCATCGTC